TCGGGTTAATAGTTTCACTGTATTTAGTGAAGGAGTGATGGTGGTCGTTAAACCTTGATGACCAAGAAAAGACAGTACTTTTCATGTTGGAGCAACTTTCATTTCATTTGAAGAGGAGAGAAGAGGTTGGCTCCACCGGAGGCCGCTTATAATTATTGTGAATAATAAGAGAAGCGTGATGCATAAAACGTTACGATTAATTTGCAACAGGTTTAATCCGAGACGTGGAAGGTTTCAATCAAGAATTCATGTGAATTCGTTAACTTAGTCGACGAGCAAGAGATAGAAAGTGAGGATTTGCTGGTAAGTTTTGATTTCAAGTCTGTGCACACTAACATCGCTGTAGATGATGCCATACAGGCTTTGCACAAAGTTAAGTAAAGAGTCAATTATGATACTGACCAACCTGGCGATGTACTGGACATATTTTTCCTTTAATGTTAAACTGTATCAACAAACACGGGATTCAGTTATGGGTTGGTGTTTGTCATCAATTTTAGCAAATAATGACATGACTTAATTTGAGCAACGTTTAATTGAGGAGGTACTTTAGTTGCTAAATTATTCGTTGCTATATGGACGAATATTTTGCTATTTGGCAACATGGCAGAGAAGATACGGAGAATTTTCTTGGTTTGATGAACAAGATCGAAGGGAAGACGAAATTCACCATCGAGTTAGAAAAGGAAGATGGTTTACCTTTTATTTTGGTGCTAGTTGGTAAAGATGGGACCGGATTACGTAGAGATGTGTATCGGAAACCCACAAATGCAGGTTTCATTTTGAATGTCTTCTCCAACCCCACTTATGGGGTTGAGTAGGAGTTATGAAGTATGTGACTGGCAGATGCATGGCAACGGAACCGGCAAGTGAAGAGACTATGGAGAATTCTGGTTGAGAATAATTATCCACGAGGACTGGTTGACAACTATTTTAGAATATTATCAAATAGAATTAAAGGGAATACACATTTGGGGGTATGCCATCATGTAATCTGTGGAAGAAGATGGGCAAATGACTAAGGAGGTGGGACATCAGGACCATTTGTAAAGAGAAAACAACACTGAAGATATGAAGACCAAAATGTTGTGGCCTCCGGTATGGCCTCAATAACGTTTGTCGAGGGATCGACTTCATTTGTCTCTTTGACGAGTTTGTAGCTTGGTGCGACGAATGTCAAAACTCGCTGACGATGCCAACTACGATGCCGGCGAAACATCTGAGAATGTACCAAGTCGACTGTCTGATGCTGGGAGTTATGACAATTACTTCGGACTAGGTGCGTTCTACTTAGTCGCCCTGACAACAAGACCAAGTTGCGACAACGAGGTCAACCCACTTCTAGAAAATAACACTGTCCTCGGTATTGCCTTCTTTTTCAGAATACTCTGGCCCACTTTCCAGATCGCGTGTGGGACGCAATCACATGCGGTGACATTGCAGGATCGAATGCATACGTGTTTTGCGGGGTTCGGTTGCCATCGCACCCATTTCCTGCCTCGTCTGTAGCCACTTCACTTAACTCATGAGCGAATAGAGAAGCAAAGCATGGCAT